CGATCCTTATTTTACTATATATTTTATATATAAGTATAAGTATCGTGACTTTGCAGGGCTGCTACCGATTTTGGTAAAGTCTGCTGGTAAGTATTGCGCTAACGTATGAAACCCCGGTGGAGGTGTAGTTACCTCGAGGCAGGCAGAGGTTGTTTAAGTTGCCCCACCACCCGCCGCGATACTTTCTATTTTCCTTTTGCTCTGCCTGCCGCGTCTTTTTTTCCTTTCGGCCTCCCTCCGTGCCTCCATACTCTCTCTCTCTCTCTCCCTCTCTCTCTACCCGAGCTTGCCCGCTTTGCGCTACGCACTCTTCGGATGGAAGACCGATGCGGGCGGCGGACGGGCCAGTTGGCAGGCAACGCGGCAACGGTTCCCCAAAAAGTATGACAAGGGGGGTAGTAGGGATTTGATGATTAGGAGACAGAGTTTCCGTAGAGAGAGGAGATAGGAAGAGAGAGGGGGGGGGGGAGGGCGGGAGAGGGGGGGGGGGGGGAGGCGCGGGGGCACGGGACACCAAAAAAAGAGAAGAGGGGGGGGGGGGGGGGTTGTGTGAGTGGGAGGGAGGGGTTGGGGGGAGAGGGGGGAGAGGAGGAGGGAGAGAGAGAGAGGGGGAGAGGGGGGGGGGGGGGGGGGCAAAAAAGCATGCTGTAGAATACCATGTCGACTGATGCCTCACCTACCTTTCTATCCATATACCTCCGCTTCGTCCTCCCCGAACCACAATCCCATCCTTGATAGAGAAAAGTACAACGCCGGCTGAAAAGTCTGGCCACACCATTAAGGAGTCCCCTACCAAAATCATTAAACCCAAGATGCCCTCATTCGCACTATTATTTCAACTGCTCATAACATTTCCAGTCAGCGTGCAAATGATTCAAGTCTTATATCAAATTCATCGCCAGAAGCAGCACTTTGCTATGTAATATACCAAGCCTGGGCACAAAAAGAAAAGTAGTGGATTGGAAAGTAGAGTGGGTGGATTAACGGGGTGTCGTTGGGTGCGGGGCTTTGTTGGTGTGGCCAGACTGTTTGAGCCGGTATTGTACATACATGTACGGATATGTACCTTACCTGGGAGCTGCCTACCCGTAGGATTGCCAGATTTACGATGCTGGCATGCTGTGCGGTGTATCCGTACCCCAGCTTCTCTTTGCCCCAGGGTTCAAACCCCCAAACGGCGGCAGTCACACGCCACGTCCCATCCATTCACCCTACTATATGTGTCGATCCTCCGTCACCCTCCCCCTCTCCCCCCCTTCACCATCCCGGAACCCCGGTTCCCCCGTAGCCCCCCGGTGCGCTCCGTTTCCTCGCCCGCGCCCGATGGCCGAGGCCCGAACCTTGGCATAGACAGGCGACTCAGAGTTGTAGATGGCTGTAGCTCTCCCCGACTCAGCTTCTCCATACCGACGGACAGAAAGACGGACGGACGGACGGACGGACGGACGGACATATGTTGACCGCAAAGACGTCTACGAATGCCAAGTACTGAAGAATTGTCTGAAACACAACACCAAGGCAGCCTTCGTCTAACATGACACACATGTAAACACAACGTGGAGATTCTCTTATTCGTTCGTCATTGTCGAACCAAACTAGCCGAATACTGTAGCAAAGTTACATCTGCGGAATACCAAAAAATACTCTTCCTGCCGAAAGGACAGCCATTGAGCTTGCCTATAATTTCATCATCATAGCCTCCTTTCCCCATTCTCAGTCTCTTCGGAAGGAGTCTCCGGCCAGGCACAAACCAGTGTCTGCTTTGCTACCTGGCCACATCTCCCCCGACCATTTCTAGATTGTCCGATGTGGATGAATAAAAACCATTCGCCTTTACCGTTGGGGTCAAAACTAAACCTCTAGTTTGCCCTTGTTTTTGGTCCGTGATTAAACGCCTGCTTTCCCCAAAGTTTCCCATCCGTTTCCTCACATAGGCCTCCTAATGTGGCCGCCTGACCAGTTGCCGAGTTAATGTGTGCCAATGTACAATTAGACATGGAGATGTCTGTTTAGGCCTGGGCCCGATTCTTCTCCTTGTCTGAGAAGCAGGCGGCAGCGTCCTTACCCATCCATTTGTCGACGACAGTCTGGAAGTCTGTTTCGGAAACCACGGGACCTTGGCCTGAACACTTCGCCTTCTTTTGCAACTCAGAACACAAGCCGTCCAGATCAAACTCGCCCGCCTGGACCCTGGGGCAGGTTGACAGCTTCTCCCTGTTGAAATTATCAGTTTCGGGTCCATGGCTATTTGGCAGGGGAGTATCGTACCAAATCTTGTTGCAGTTGTAGTTCTCAGCCTTAACGGCCTCCTTAACCACATCATCGTCCGCGTTCTTGGCCGCGTCAATCTGGTCGATGAGATTCTTCTTGGGCACATTGGGACTCGGTGCCATGTTATAGGGTGTGATAAAATCGGCATCGAGAGCATCATTGAAGAAGCTGTCGTCAAAGGTAGTCGCGGCAAGGATATTTTCTTGAGGTTCACGGTATCCGCCAAAGAGCTGGGGATCAAACTGGCCACCGTTCTGCTGGGCAAGCCAGTCAAAATTATTCGTATCGATGCCGGCAAACAATGACTGCTGTCCAGTAGACTCCTCGCCAATAGTGGTCATGGTATCGACAGGTTTGAAGCCCATTGGCGACTGGGTGAAGGGCTCAGGGGAAGTTCCGCAAGATGAGCTTGGGCCTCCGTTTGACTGAGACGACGCTGATGGTGAGCTCGTCGCTGTGCCGTTGTTCATAGTGTAAGAGCCAGAGTCAACGCTGGCACGGGATGTGCCAGTGCCCATTGACCCGTTGGCGAGCGAAGGGCTGAAAAGGGATGTGAAGTTCGCCAGGTCGTCTTTGGCACCAAAGTCAAGTCCGGCAATAATGCCAGGGCTGTTGTCCTTGGCGTTGTTGAGAGGGCTGACAGGGTTGCTTCCGTTGGCTTGGTGAGGCGATGAGGAGGATCTCGTAGGCTGTACCGGCTTGCTGGGCATTTGAGACCCGGGTAACACTCCAAATTTGGGGAACTCAAATTGGAAGTTGACATCACTGAGGTTGCCAATGGCGGAAGCTCCAAAGCCCATGGGCGACTTGCTGTGTGAGACAGACCGGGTGCTCATTGCAGCAATCTTGGTCTTGTACTCGTTGAGCTCGGAAGTCATGCGGTCGATCTTGGCCTTGAGTTGGCTATTTTCGCTATTCACATCCTTGGACGCCTTCTCGAGCTCTTCGACCTTGGTCTCGAGGTCCTTGAGGTGCTTCTCCTTGCGCTCGCGGAATGCCCGCTGCGCAGCGCGGTTCTGTGCCTTGCGTTTCTTGGAAGAGTTAGAGGCATGGCTGTGGCTAGAAGGGTCTTTCAAACTTACTGAAGTCGGCTCGGAAGTAAGCGGCTTACGTCCAGGCTTCTTGGGAGCCTTTTCACTACCCTCGCGCCTCTTTGCGTCGTTGCCAGGGGAGTCCTCATCCTCATCGTCGTCGGGGTGAGATCTCTTGTCGTTCCCATCATTCTCAGTGGAGTCTGATTTTGTTGACTTGGCCGACTGAGCGCCACCGGGGATGTCGCCGATCATCTTGGCGTGGCCAACGGTGCTGACGTCAAAGTCGAAGCTGGAGTCACCAAAGTCGTAATCGTAGTTGTCGAGGTAGGGACTCTCCTGGAAGCCTGTGGCAGCCGCGCCCTGCGCCGGCGAAGTATGATAGGAGGAAGGCGACATGGAGTTGTCCTTGGTAGTGGGAGACTGATTCGCGAGCTGCTGCTTGTTGGAGTTGAGAGCGGCGTAGAGCAGGCTCTGTTGCTGCGGGGTCAAGATGAAGTTGGTTGGGAAACCACTGTTTGTAGTGGAGGCCATTGCGAAAGGAGTGTGAGAGGGCGACGATGTGTAGGTAAAAGGGAGTCAATTCGGTGCAAGAGGGCTATGAAAGGAGGCGAACTCGGAGTGCCGATTGCGGCTCAGGGTGCCGGGGTCAAGATGGCTAGGATTCCAGATAGGCCGGATCGAACGGTGATGTCGTCTGTAGGGACAAGGAAATACTCGACTACCTCACGACACCTATGATCCTTCGCTGAGCGATTCTTGGACGTCGAGCTCGCCGTCAAGACAAGGTTGAAGAAAGGTAGTATAATGTCTTTGTGTAGGAGTGGCCCGACTGCTTGGAGGTGACGAAATGATCCGACGCTGGCTGGGGTGGGATGCGAATGGAGGGAGTAGAGTTGATGCCTTTCGGATCAAAGTTGCTGCCTGACTCACAGGCCGGTCTCCAGGCAACCTGGAAGCTGTACGCTATGTAGACAGATTTCGCAGGATCCAGAATCCACGGAATTCGGGGAAAAGACGTGCTTGGGAAAGGGTGTGCGGTGATGCGTGTGTGCGGTGTAGTGGGAAAAAAGTTGTTGGTTCACGGTGACGGCAGATGCGTCTGAGTAGGAAGTGGAGAGAATCGAACTGAATGGACGACTGCAGACGGTGAGGAGGGGGAAGAATTTCAGCGTTCTTCAGTGTCAATTTGTCAGCCGCCCTTGACGCCAATGGAGGAAGGGAAAATGGAGGGGGTCGGCCGAGGGGGGAGGTCAAGGGGGTCCCAGCGGTGGGTGACCGGGCCCGGCTGGATCGATTGAAGCTTATCTATTGGCTCTGATGCCCGGTTACTGCGATAAGGCGAAGGGCGTAGCTGTCCCGCCACTGTCCCGTCGTTTTCGCATCATCCAGCCGTCGACGGATCCATTTCTGTTGCACAAATGTCCATGTTTCTGCCCTCCCCTCATTCCCTGGAACTTTAGGACCTGCCCACCTGAGCTACCCGTGCTGCCCTCGCCCTGAAGAGGGATCGCGGCACCACACGCTACTGTTGCAGGGATGCTAGTCTGATGATGCCTCGAGGGGTTCTATTCCATCTTCCAGGGTAGAAGAAGGGCAACATTCGCCACGCATCCCTCTTGCTGCCTCCTGTCGCCCTCTGTTTGCTCCGTCTCTCATAACTATTTGGGAGACACATATATAACTACTGCAACAACTACCCAGCAAGATGGAGGCCAAGACGACTTACACGAGTGGAGGCCCCGATGGACAGACATTGCCCACCGAGGGCCGACTTCAGTACAGCAATCCCATCTAATGTTACCAATCGAATTCATCGCGAGTCTGCAGATTTTGAACCCAGGCTCCCCCAGTATCTCACCACAACCCACCGGCCACAAGTCTAGGTAGCCAGAATTCGCCGCAACGAAATCGCCCAGTCTGTCGCATGACGTGGGTATTGCACTTTCTGCGTAACAATGCGAGTGGCGGGTCAGTCAGGCAGTTTCCCCTGCTGGGCTCTACCATTGTACCATAGAACCTAGTGCAATCTTGCGTTGTCTTTTTATCCACTGTTGCATCCCCCGTACGTCCAAGACACTAACCTGACCCGGCCGCCAATTCTTCAAACGGCGCGCCCGACCTACTGGATATGAGTCAGGGTCATCCTCCACGCCAAAATCTGCTGTGTAGCCGCACAGCCTCCGCTGACTGCTGTAAGTCCGGCATATGTCCATATCCGCCGGAGGTAGCGTCTTCAGCGTCCATCTGCCACGCAGAATCTGAGATACCTCGCCAAGATAGTCTCTTATCCCGCTGCAAGCCCCGTTAAACCCCGAGAGCGTCCGGGGCAACAGGCGAAGCCCTTGTCGAGGCTTACGCTTTCCATCTAGGCCTAAAGAAAGGTACACCACATCGTACGTTGGAAACTAACGTGACTGGCTAGGACTCAATTCTTTAACTGGCCGCGAGAAAGTCTTGGCCTTGTTTAATTGTTCACGCAAAGATTCAATCAAGCCGGCTTTGGTAGAAAAGGGACAGCCTAGATCTGATTATCTGAACGATCGTCTTCCTGGCCCTCTCGTGGGACGTGCCGCTCCAGAGGGAAGACCTCGTGCTGCTGCCAATGCTGGGATGACAAATGACATGGCGAACAGCTGTTTCGGCCCTGATACGATCACAACATACAGGGATTCATAGAGTCGAGGAACACCTCCACAGCCCGTGTCTACAGTACTGGACGAGACAACGGCTCTTGACGCCCCCCTTCCCGGCCTCCTCGCATCCCTCCACATCTGCTGTGCCGTATTAGTGCGGTTCTTACTAACGGTTGGTTGGGGACCAGAAATGGTCACTGTGCTTACTTACTCTCTCCCTTGCATAAATCGCCACGGCCTCAGAAGACGTCTAGACCCGACGCTACTCCGCCCGAAAAGCTTACATTGCGCATCTCGGGACCATGCGAATACCTACTACGGATATGTATGCCTGGTTTCTCCTCCGAGTGGAGGCACGAAGGAGCGAGGCGGGTACGGCGAGTCGTATCGCCGAGGGATCAGTTGAGCTTGTTTACGCGGATGTAAACAGCTGCCGAGTGTCGGGTGTGCCAGCCCTCATACAACGGTAGGCTGTCACTGCTGTCTGTACGCAGTTGGCGACGGAGCACGCCATTGAAGACCGGCGTGGGATATCCGATCCGGCACAGATTGATCCAATGTCTAAATTCGAGCCTTTGAGTCACTTGCCGCATCTTGCCATGCAGTCAGTCTGGTAAGATTGACCGGATTCTGTCACCGCAGCCGTCTCCGTTGCATGCCTCCATGGTGAGCAACTCGGAACAAGAACCGCAACGCGCCGGATATAAGGCGCTTGCGCTGAGGTCATCCGTCCCTGGCGCGGGGGTAAGTACCACAGTACCTAAGGGCCAACTCAAAGTTCGTTCTCAGGTCCGTTGGTGCAGGAAAAAAGTCCCGCCCATCCATCACAACGACAACCACCGACTCGAGTGTTTCCACAGTCATATTGATGTCGCCGGACTGTGTATGCTCGCGCTGCTATGAAGTGGCTCCGGGTGCGGCGGCCCGCAGGTGATGGGAATGCTCGACGCAAGCGATTCTCGTTCCCACGACGTAAGGCAAAGGCCAGAAACGAAAAGGTTCCGGCAGTGGCCGCGCCGGGATCCACCTGTAGACATGTGCAGTCAGTGTACCCCCGCATGGACCACCATGCAGCCGTCCACCACCCCGCCCGTCAGGGGGAAAGCAGCCTCATGTCAAAAGCCAGACATCATTCGTCCGCCGGCTCCCGACACATCGCACGATTCACCCCAACTCCACTCCACGAACCGCCAGTTTAGCCTCGCAAAGGCTCTCCCGAAGACTACCGAGTAAACACCAGCTTCGACTTGAGCTTGGACTCTGCCGCCTTGCCATGGATCTGGCGTACGATCACATCCAGGAGAGCTCGCTCCCGAAGGATGCCGATAAGAAGACGAGCGACGCCAAGGACCCTAAAACCGGCCAGCCGCAATCATCTCTGAACGCTGACTTGCAGGAGGCCTACAAGGCGATCTCATCCAGTCCCTGGGGCATGCGAATTGGTGGCTTTTTGGGGAGTGCCGTGAAGCAGGTGAGGCGATAAGATACCAGCTTCAAGAGAATCAATGATGGGCCGGCTAACCCGGAGCTCTAGGGACAAGAAGTCTACAAGGAAGCCTCCAAGGAGGTGACGGAGCTCGGTCAGGATGCATCCAAGGGATTCAGCTCGATAATCAACCGAACGCGATCGCTCACCGTCACCACGGCGCAAGAGGAGTCCTCCGGAGACAAGAGCAAGGAGACCAACAGCCAAACAACGCCCACAAAGACTAGAGACCTAGCATCATCGGATGACCCGATGAGCAGTTCCGAGAACTACCTCACCAGGCTCCGGTCCGAGGCAGCCAAGCGGCTCAAGGACCTGCAAAAGGCTGAAGACGCCGCCGACGAGGCTCTGCTCCGCTTCGGCACCAACATCAGCAACTTCCTCAAAGAAGCGGTCAGCATCGCGCCGCCCTCTGACGCCAACAGCCAGGGAGGCGCCGTCATGTTTGAGAGCAAGGACGCGCAGGGAAAGCGGGTTATCCACACCTCAAGGCAAGACGCCCAGTTGCACGTCATCCACACGAGCACCGAAAGCTTCGCAAAGGACCCCGCCACGGAGGAATTTGCAACCTGGGCCAAGACTTTTGACGCGGAGAAGAAGACGGCGGAAATTAGCGACGACCTGAACAAATACCCCGAACTGCGAACGACGATGGAGAAGCTCGTGCCTGACCAGGTTCCCTATGCTGAATTCTGGAAGAGATACTACTTCCTCAGACACGGCCTGGAGGCTGCCGAGACCCGACGACGTGATTTGCTCAAGGGTGAGTGAGGGCATTTTGGATATCACAACCATATGCTAACTAGACACAGCGGCCTCTGCCGAGGATGAGGTCGGTTGGGACGATGACTCGGACGATGAGGCCACTACCACTGCTACTGTTCCCGCTCCTCCTGCCGCCGCCGCCGCCGCCGCCCCTGCTCCCGCCCCTGCTGCTCCAAATGCCGAGCAGACGCAAGCACGCCCGCCATCAGCCGAGTCCTCCACTACCATCCAGCCTCCCGCCCAGACCTCCTCCAAACTCAAGCCCGCTGAGTCCCGCAAGTCGAATGACGAAAAGTCCCAAGCCGACAGTGACACCAGCTACGACGTGGTCGGTGCCACCTCGGGCGTCCCCAGCCAAGCCCCCAACAGCCCCAAGGACTCCCGCAAGGCCGACGATAGTGACGACGACTGGGAGTAGGATGGGGCGACTCGGCATGCCTCCTTTTGCTGACTGACTGGCGTTGATATGGGGGTTTTGGATTGTCTCTGGCTCGAATGGCAGCTCTTAATTTTGCGGACATTTGTACATCAGCCGCGCGGGCCCGTAGTGCAGCATTCTTGTTGCTTTGAGACCAAGTCGCGGGAGGGCTATTTCTCCTCTTCGCTTTTTTTTTGGCTTTAAACATTTATCTCTTCTTCTTGGTGACCGTGGTGAAACCGTCTTCGTCGACCTCCGGCTCCGGCTTCTCCCTCGGCGCACGAACGAGCTGAGGCGCGTCGTCCATCTCAACATCATCTTCGTCGTCATCCTCGCTGTCGTCATCCTCCCAGTCGGTGTCCTGATCGCCGGCCTCGACCTTTTTGTAAAGCCCTTCCACCTTGGCACCCTTGCGGCTCTCCCACTTGGCGCGCAGCTCGTCAACGGCAGCGAAGTTGCCCTTTGCGCACTCGGCCCGCAGCTTGACAATCTGCTCGGCGACATCGAAGCCCGTCTCGTCGTCGACGTTGACCTCGAACTCGTCCAGCATGACCTGCAGCAGCATGGTCTCGACGTACTCGGTGTCGGGTTCCTCGGCGGCGGCGGCGGCGCTGGCGGGAATAGCTTGGCCAGCGGCGGAGATCTTGGCGAAGGTCGGGAAGATCTCGGCGACGGCGCCGGCGAACCAGTCTCTCTTGTCGGCGGAGTCCGGGCCGCCCCAGTGGTTCTGGACGGCGAGGGAGAGGGCCGGCCACATGTGCAGGGACAGGGCGACGGCCTGCTCAAAGGTCGACTGGCAGGCCTCTGGGGAGAGGCTTGTTAGTATCTAGTGCCTGATTTGCCTGATTGGTGTTGCCAAAAACTTACCTGCCGTGAAGGGGCTGGAAGATGCCGTGGTTGCCATGTTGACTTGATGCGTAAGTCGACCTTGTTTTTTTTTTCGCGGGGTACTTTGGAGGGGCAGATTTTGGGCCGGTGACAGTTTGTGCCAAATTTCAGATCACAAATTTTTTGGTGGATAGTGCATGCGACGATTGGCACTGTCGGTTGTGCTGTGTGGGGGCTCATCCCGGTCCCGCATTCGGGTCTAGCCAGGCCTCGTGCGGGAACTCTGAGATTGGCACAATTGGCTAACGGGTACGGATACGGTAGGGTACCTCCCTACCTTGGAGACAGGCTTCACTGCGTACCTCACAAGCTGCTCCATTGCCCACGTCCGACATGACTTATCAATCCATTGAACTATCTCAAGGGGAAAAAAACCACTGCAGAAATAATGCAGTTATTGTCTCCAGGCTTCTTCATTATTCATCCAATGATCCTGGCAAGCTAATGATGAAGCTACTGTCGCTCGACCAGGCTCAGGCTCTCGGCGGACATTGCCCATCCACTTGGGCGCTGCAGTGATGTCATCGGTCCCCTATTCCGGCAATGAGCTCTGGGGGGTTTCAGGGTCCGGCTTTCTTCTGTGTTCCGGGCTGCCTCGAAGCGACGTGATGGTCTGTCCACAAACCGCTTAAGATCGCCCCTTGCTGCTCGCGGGGAGCTTCAAAACCTCAAGAATCCGCCTTTCGGGGGCAAAGCTGTAAATCCTGTCCTTCAGCTTTCAAAAAAAAAACCTCGCGACTGGGACGACAAGAACCATGAACCCGTTGAAGCTCAACACCACTTCCGTGTCATTGGCGGTCACGCCCACCGTCGTATCCACTCTCTTCTCACATGTGAGTCTCCCCTATTCCCAGCACACCTTCTTCTCTTCCCTGCCCGAGGTAGCTTTCCCCGGATTTGCTTGTCACAGAACATGCAATGCAACCCGGCGGATTCAACAGCTACTACAGACTCCATACGAGGTGCCAATGACTGATTCTCTTCGACCCGGCAGTACCTTAAACGCAAAACCTCAAAGCAAGGACCCAACTCGCACTTGTCCTACGACGAGGGCCTGCACCTCGTCCGATCTTTCCTCGAGTTCGCTTCCCAACACACGGTCGAGGAGCTACAGGCCTTCACAGCCCAATGGGTCCCGCACCCGCAATGGGTCAAGGTAGAAGACCTCGAGATCCCCGAGGCGGAGCTCGACAAGTCGGCCGGGTTGATTGAGGCACAACTTGGGCCCGCCGGCGTGCGGGCCGTCGGCGGGCGCAAGTGGTGGAAGTGGCGGAAGCCGCAGAGCGTGCTGAAAGCCGAATGGATCGAGATGCGCACCGACTACCATGAGAGGAAAAAGAACGGCGGCGCGACCAAGAGGGTGATGCTCTACGTCCACGGCGGCGCCTACTTCTTTGGCAGCGTCGACGAGCACCGGTACCAGATGCAGCGTCACGCCCGCAAGCTCAAGGCGAGGGTCCTCGCGCCCCGGTACCGGCTCGCGCCGCAGTTCCCCTTCCCCTGCGGTCTCCAGGACTGCCTGGCCGCCTACCTCTACCTCCTCACAGTCCAGGATCCGACCACCATCGTGCTGGCGGGCGACTCGGCCGGCGGCGGGATGGTGCTGTCGATGCTGTGTATCCTGCGAGACCGCGGAATTCCCCTCCCCGCCGGCGCCATCCTCATCAGTCCCTGGGTCGACCTTACACACTCGTTCCCTAGCGTGTCGGGGGACAACCAGATGGACTACATCCCGTCGTCCGGCTTTCATCACAAGCCGTCCAGGTCCTGGCCACCGCCCAACGAGGACGACATGGAAATGATGCGGGAACAGGCCATCAAGGCGCGCGCGGGCAAGGAAAAGAGTGCCACGAAGCTTAACACGCTCGAGAAGAAGCAGGCTGCGCCGATCGCGCTGGGCGATGGCAACGGGACCTTGGGGGGCACCACTGCCTCCTCTGGCAACGCCGATCCTACCAAGACGGCCTTGCAGCTTTCCGTCACTATCGACGGCAAGCTCACAACAGTCAAGGATCAGATTCAGGTAAGCGCTCGAGTGCCTTTTTATTCGGCCGCAGTATAGAATCCTAACAGCTCCAGATGTACACGACCAACGCCTTGCTCTCGCACCCGATGGTCAGCCCTGTCATGCAGCCAACATTGGGCGGACTCCCGCCGTTACTCATCATGGTCGGCGGCGGCGAGGTCCTGCGCGACGAGCAGATCTACGTGGCTCACAAGTGTGCGAATCCCACCAAGTACACACCGCCGGGTCTCGACGACGCGGGCCTAGCACAGCTGAAGCAGTACAAGCCGACAGACGTGCAGCTCCAGGTCTGGGACGACCTCTGCCACGTAGCGCCGACACTCAGCTTCACTCGGCCCGCCAAGCACATGTACCGGGCGGTCGCGCAGTTTGGGGCCTGGGCCCTGGCGAGGGCGCAGCAGACAGAGTTTGAGATTCTGGATGACGACGACATTTCCATGATCTCCAGTTCCGCGTCGGACTCTGATGAACCGGACGACCAGACCGAGAACGCAGGTCCTCCGGAACTGGTCGGAAAGGCCGGTATGCCGTTACCCCCGTTCAAGAAACACATGATCCGACAAAAGATATCCACGCGCGGCGTCGTCTCCGATCTACCCCCCGAATCTGAGCTGGCTGGCTGCATCATGAAGTCGGAGGAAGTCGGCGTCGTCAGACCCATACCGGTCAGGAGATGGCTCGACACCAAAGCCACCTTCGACAAGAAGTTTTCGAGCACAAAAGCAAAAGTACATAAGAGCATCATCAAAGACCTGGCCGACGGATACATGGACTTTGGCGACGGCGAACAGCCGCCGCCCACCGCGCTGGCGGGTAGGCGAAAGGCGTCGGACGAGCTGGTCGACAGGAAGAAGACCAAGAGCATCGGGCTGGCGCTGTGGTCGCTCTGGGGCTCGAAGCACGACGAGACGACGACGAAGAGGGAGAAGAAGGCCGATTCCGGCGCCGCCGCCGTCGCCGCCGCCAGGACGTCACAGTCACAGTCACAACAGCCGCAGTCGCAGACTTCGCCGAGGGGCGGCGAGGGAGCCAGGTCGTTTGAGGACATTGAGCATCAGGACCCGGCACCCCTCGGCTCGCCTACGGGCAGCAAGCGGCGGTTCGTCAGAGACGAACACCAGACGGAGACGCCGGACCCGGACTCCCAGATAGTGGAAGACTCCCAGACCACGGCGGTGGAAGAGAAGACGCCAGTGGCGGCTCTCATCGAGAAGAGGAAGGGGCAGGAGAAGCACAATGAGGAGGCCGCCGCCGCCGACGCCGCTGCCGGGCACGACGGGCACCTGAGCCCAGACTTCGTCCCCGGCGGCACCGGCGTCGCGGGCAAGCGGCCGTTCCTCGACGGCATCGCGCTGCCTTTCAGCCTCGGCAAGAAGGACGCCGAGACGGCAAGCATGGTGACGCTGATGTCTGGCGCCGACAGCCGGCCGATCAGCCCCATGCCCCAGCTGAGCCGATCGGACACGCCTGATGTCGTCAACGGCAACGGGGTTATTGCTTCCGAGGCGAGTACCCAGGTCCCAGAAACTGAGAGCAAGCGGCCCCCACTGGACAACTTTGTCACGGCGGCGGAGAATCTCCCTCTTGCAAACGGCAAGGGGAAGGAGATTGCTAATGGAGGTTTGGAGCAGACCGCATGAACTTGCTGTGGATAAAATCAGATAAAATAGCTTCAATCGTAGTGTGTATACTAAGTTTATCGTAATAGTGTCATCACTTTTGAGCTTAGTCCCATCATATTGATTGATTCAACCACGAGCAAGCCCATCAGCCATTCGAGTCCTTAAAACCTCCGGAATGTTGTGAATGTTTTTACATATTGTTACAGCGTCGAGGGTATATACAGCTCTTGTACACTCCATCGGGGAGGTATTTCTGCCCCTGCTTAAATCGGATTCGTCTCTCCGGGTTCCTAATCGATCTCCCGCCATCGAGCAGCGACTCTCCTTTTTTCTTTGCTTCTCCCTTCCTCCTCCTGCGACCACGCAGGCTCCCACCTTAATCCACACCATTCTGCTGCTTCCAGTTGTCAAGGTAGAGCTTAGGGTCGCGGGGGCCGTCTTTCGTAGGGTACGCTCCTCTCAGGGGGCGCACAGCTTCGGAGACGAACGGTGTGAGCTAAAGTTCAAGGCCGTACCATGTCAGCAAAAAAAATCACACAAATCTCGACCATCGATGACCTCCTCATTTCGGCCCCAATCTTTACAAATTGGAGCAAAACCGGTTGCGGAGAAAAACGGAGGAATTCCCTTACCTTGAAATCCTTCAAGCCCTCCGGCACGACGTACGTCCGCACCTTCTGCCACTCGATAACGTAGCCTCCGTACTTTGTGTGGCGACCCATGGCTCCCGTCCGGTTTCCCTTGTAGAAGCCCTTGTTGACGTCCTTGGTCGTCAGGCGCAGGTGCCTGTACTTGAGCACCTGGAGGATGGGTGAGGGTTTCATGACTGGCGGAGGAGGCCCCGGGGAGGTGCTCTCGGTCTAGTCGGATTGAGCTGGGCTAGGTTTTGTCGGCCAATTGACACCTCTCTCTCTCTCTCTCTCGTATTCGCTTGTCGCCCCGTGGATAGTGTCGCCGTCGTTTGTTGTTGCGCCTTTACCTCGTCGGTGGGAGGCTCGGGTTGGTGGTGCAAGACCCGAAATTTTGGCGATGCGCGATTGCGACGGATTAAGGGTTGGCCCATTTGCCGATGGAGATCCCTGTCGGACGTTGGCATGTTTGCCTAGCGACCGTGTGGGAAGTGCACGGGCAGCGGAGCATGGGCCCGATGACCTAAGGTAGGCTCCATCATCGGCGCCGGTAGGTGGGGCCTTGGCCCCGGAGGCCGCCGATTTGCTTGTATGGCATCGGAAGGGAGGGACAATATCGATGAGCAGAGCATATGGTACAATTTAAAACAAGAAAATTCCACTGGTTTTTATATTCTGATCTGGTGGCCTAGGTCACTGTTCTACTTGTCCTATTGAATGGTCCAAAGAGCAAGTAGTCTAAGGCTCATCCTTCGAGGCACTGGCAATGCAAAAGAAGGGTTTCAAAGATTCTGCTTCTTTTTCATCAAGAAATGATTTAGTCTCCTCCACAAAACCTCGATAATTGATTCAGTCACATCAACATCCAATCGTCATGGAAAGACAAAAAATTAGGCATCTTGAGTTGGAGACAAGACAATGAGCGGCTTTCTAAAAGAGCATGGCCATGGAGATCATCTCGTGCGGGGGATGATGAGGTTACATGTATGTAGATTTATGGAATTCCAGCAAACCCTCGTGTTCCAGGATAAGATAAGTTATGTGACCAACGCTATCGACAACATCTCCTTTGACAGTAAGGAAATCAATTCTCCCATCCGTGTGAGATACCAGCTGGGGGATTTCATATGGTCTCCAACCTATCACGTTGAAAACCTCGAATTTTGCTCGTGTTCCATGTTCCTATGGTCGAGAAATATTCTTCATAAGGGTTTGTCCTCAGAGATATGAGAATTTCACTTATTTCACAGGGAAGCCTGGCCTTCCCGCACACTATCTTCCAGAATCCGGTAGGCAAATCTCTGATCTTAAAAGGCACCCCGTCTGGCAAGGCTACGAGTACTTGGATATATGAGGTTGATGAGGCCTACTTAAATGATAGCACCACAGTGAAGCTAATTTCAATCTCTTTATATACACGTCTCATTTCTGCCATCCCCCAAGGACTTTCCTTCTTCGGCATTTACTGCAGTCAGTCATCACCAGGGACACCAAGATGAATACGAATAATGAACTTGTTAGTCAAGAAGGAGAGGGCCTTCAACCTAATCCTCGAAACACTCGAACCAGGCAGGCGACTTCGATTGAACGCCCACCGATCCAGACCTCCTCTTCAATGTCTTCGGCACCGATGAACTACAATCGCCTTCAGCACCATGTAGCGTATCAACCCGCATAGTCAAGCCCCATGTTGGCCGCATCGCCTCAACAGCCACTTCCCATCAGCCATTCTGGCTTGTCGGACCCCCTTGGTGGACACGGATCAGTCATCGGAAGCAACCTCTGCCAGTCTCATGAAAGAAATTCAACTCCTCCAGGGCATCCGCAGAGAATAATGGAGCCATGTTTCCACATGCGGAACTCTTTCAATATCCTCTCGTCCACGCGCGCCACCCCAAGCTACGGCCCCAGGTCCATCTCGCTCTCCAACTCCAGATGGCGGAGACGTCCCAGCCGAAGTAAGAAACTCCTTTCCAGGAAAACCCCTCCCAAACGTTTGATTCCACCGAAAGAGCGCAATTGACACATAGCGCGCTGGTCGAGAACTTCAAAAACTTGTACCATACCCTGCGTGTGCATGTGGCCGATGTGGACGGGAAGTGTCGAGCAGAAGCCAAGAAGAGAGCGGAAACTGAGGCAGCGATGTCGAGTGATGAAGCGCAGAGAGATGGATGATTATCAGGACACTCAGAGGGGAATTCGCGGGGCTATGGTATGTCAAACGCAAGCTTCCAATTACCAGGAACTCAATGGGGAGAGAGCGCGATTTACATTATCTCCTTTAATAATTCCTCTCCCATTCTAATCGCCATGTTAGGTTTCGAATGTTCTCTGTTCCGTCATTGCATCGCTTAAACTTTGATGCGAGTTTTGATACACATCTCTGCCCTATTGATGCCAGTTTCGACGTCTATCAAGAACACCGAACTCCTTTGATTCTTACAACGATACAGAAACGTTCTGTAATGGGACTGCGTAACTCGTGTGCTTCTTCCAGTTTGGAGAAAATGCATGTAATCATAACTACGGGAGCTTGCTAGGTCGGCGATTACTGTTAATCTCCCCCTTCAACAGAGCTTCTCCGCCAACTGCCCATGACGTGGGACCTGACCAGTGCTGTAGATTCTTTCATCTGTTTCTCAAACGTCTCCTTCCCGCTAGGTAAGGTCCCGGTGTATTTTGTCAGTCGGTAGCGCGTCATTTCTAGAGCCAGCCTCTCCCAAAGCACGTTTGTCTCCCGACTCAGCTCCACATCGAAAGAGGCTTTGATTGAAAGCCTCGTCTCACGCTCGAAGACCTCGTATAGGAAAGAAAAGATGTCTTGGCCAGTTGATATATTCAAGACCTGCATGACCTGAAGCCGGGGCATGTAGGCCGCCACGGTTGCAGCCATTCGCATCAGGTGGTTTATGCGCATGGCAGAGGTTGAGTCCGGTACCTTGAATATCAAGACCAAAACTGAAAGATCTGGATAATCCATCCTCCCCTCGAGAGGACTCGTTGCCGGGAAAGATATGGCCTCCCGGAAAAAGCCCTCCGGATTTATGGAAAACATGGAGTGCAAGATTCTGAGAGATCGTATTGCAGTACACGCGGCCCGACATATGGCTTGACATGTCGGCCCTCGGGAATAGTGCTTACGTATCGTGGCGGGACTTTCGACAAGTGTCAAGACCCTGGTGGATTTTGGGATATTCTCAAGGAGCGAAACAAAGGTGATATTGCGTTGTTCTTCTGCTCTGTGATTGAAGGGCTTGTGGAATACGTAATGCAGCTCTCGTGTGTCTGGGAGTCTTTTCATGAGTGTGGTGATGGCTGTTGCTGACAGTCTGCGGAGAACATCCCTCTGGAAGGAGAAGTTTGAGAGCTTCGTAATGATCGGAACTTTTGGTAGGATATATCCTTCGAAAAGCTTGTTTGCCGGCTGGCTAGTGGTAGCATCGTCAACGTCTAGCTCGAGAGCTCGGCCCAACCGTCGGTCGCGATATCTCAGATACTGCGAGAACGACGGCGCCGAAGGATACATTGCTCTGTGTATTCTCCTCTGTTTAGTGCGTTCTTCGGTTGGCCCCTGGTAAGGCCGGCGGAAAAAGTGGTCTTGATCGCTTGGTGACATGGCGCTGAGCTGGAGACTTAGACCATTGTATCCCGGTTGATCTGTCGGTATATCCCAGGTACGGAGGATACTGAAAAGGGTGATAAGAGCTTCGCGGAAAATAAGGCTATTGAGGTAAGCCGTATTCTCGCTTTCTGCCGTGTCGCACTCGAAACAATCGTACTCCATCAGGAGCACATGGAACCCTAGGACTTTTAGAAGCTTTCTCCGGTGTCCCTGAACGATATTGTCGAACTGAGAAATATTTTTGCGGTCCGATAAAAGGTTCAAGCTCCAGAATGTGATCTTTTCGAAGAATTGTTGCCATTCGGCAGAGACGCTTGCCAGCACCACATACATGTGTTTTCGCGTAACCTGTCTGGCGATTCCCTCTATAATCATCAGCCGAAGTTCTGAGGGCAACTGTCCCCATCGGATGAATGTCGTAGGACAATGAAGAAGGCCCCCGCTAGAACGATGTCTCATTCTAGCTGTAGTGCGATGAATTGATTTTCGTATCTGTAATGCGATGAAGTGATTCTCGAAGTGATTCTTGGACATTTGTTGGATCGGGCCAGTCGTCGATGACGAGAGACGGAAGGGGTATAAGTGTTTCTGGAGACAAATACTGGACGTAGGGGCTCTGCGTCCCATGGGCTGTTTCCCGAGTGTCTACCTACGCATGAAGGGCAGGTAGGACAGAGGGCCAAAACTCCGATACCCTCATGCTGGCAAGTGGCTGGTTCACCAACATGGTTCACCGATATAGGTAAGTACTGGGTAAGGTACTACGTAGGAAAGTAGACAACAGCCGTTTGCTTCTACCGGAATCGTGAAACCTTCCTGCCTTCCTCGACCCGTAATTGCCTTTTCACACACCTGCCCTTGCTCAAAATGACCATTTGGAGGAAAGATATCTACCTAGGTGGGTATAAAATGTTAATTTCCTACACTTCCCCCTCCCGTCAAGGTATCCATGACTCTCATTCATGGCTCTACACCGCCGAAAGGAACACGGTGAACCTCGGCGTACAAGTGGGGCCGATCGGCATCCGGGTCCCCACCATCCGTTCTTCGGGCATAGGCAGACCTTCTCTCCGGTGCCGTCTTTTCATCTTCCGGCTTGGACAAAGTAGGATCTGGCTCATTATTTTGACGGTGTCTTTAAACGACGGGAGACCGTTCCACACTAGACTGGCTACCTGATTCTGGCACTACTGGACATTTCATCACAAATTCAAGGGAGAGAGGAAACCGGACCAGTGAAAATCCGGAACGGCATTGCAATTTTCATCATCGCTTCATCTCCACTTCACTTCATTATCACGGTTGGCATCCTAATCCTCCAATCATCTCATTCGCCAAACTACCAATCTCATCACCGCGGCCACTCAAACATTCCAGACGAATCAACAACTTTCCAGTCTCTTTCGTTAAATTCGTCCACGAACATAGTCCTACCCCATTCACAACCCGCAAAAAATGGTTCGCGCACACGACCCCCACGTCAACCACCGCGTCGGCCAGCTCGTCGAGCCGGACTCGGACGGCTACGTCGTCCGCCGCTTTCCGACCGACCACGTAGAGCTCTACGGCGAGAACAGCCTCGTCAACCTCGAGATCCCCGGTAGCGTCGGCTCCTTCAATCTCGTCCACGTGCGCTGCCACAACGCCCCCGCCACCTCCGGAGACGGTCAGAAGGGCCCCTCCTACCACACTGACTCCCTCGTCATTGCCGTCCGCGGAATCTGCCCGCCCCAAAACAGCCCCGACCAGCCTCCCGCAAAGTCCGCCGTGGGGGTCTACTTTGGCCCCGGCAACCTCGTCAACCGCGCCTGCCGCGTTCCCGACGCCAAGGACCGCGGGCACGTCATGAAAGACACGGACGGCAGCGACAGCAGGGAACGTCCTCAGCACACGCAGCAGCGCGCCGACCTCTACGCCGCCATCGCGGGGATGATGGAGGCAGCCGTGATTGCGCAGCAGGGACTGCCTCATCAGCACTTCCGCGGGCCGCCGCAGCCGTTCAAGCTGCACCATGTCGTGATCAAGAGCGACTCGGCCTACCTCGTCGAGGGCATCGCGGGGGGCAAGAACGGAGAGCAGCCGCACCTGAAGAAGTGGTTGGCCAACGGGTGGAAGAACACAAAGGGCGAAAAGGTCAAGAACGAAGACCTGTGGGATAATTTGATGCTCACGATGATGTCGCTGGGGCAGGTGGGCGTGACGGTGGAGTTTTGGCAGGTGCCTAGGAAGGAGAACAAGGAGGCCGACCGGCTAGCTAAGCTCGCGCTCGAGCAGACTGTCAACTTTTTCGACGAGAAGGGCTTTTTTGGCAAGGGGGACGAGAAGGAGCCGAAAGTAATTGCTGATGAGTTGGTTGCGATCGAATGATGCTTCCTTACTATGCGAGATGATGAGACTGGATGGGAAAATCATGGCGCAGAAAAAGAATTGGGTTAAATTACTGTTGATCTATGGAGCTGGGCAGTAATGTCATATTAGAGCATTCAATGCCGGAGAGCATTGGAATTGCCTCTGGCGAGCGGGAGGACCTCAATCATAGGCGTCTCAGAAATCTCCCAGTTATCCGACGCCTTGGGATTACCATAGGGCTTCAAAACCACGATGCGCCACCTAGTCGTAAGTTTCAGACTCTTTATGTGACCGTATAAAGGACAACAATCCCAGATGAGGATACTGACTTGTACTTTCCAGGCTCCTGTCAGCCTGCTTGCCGAGCCACCAAGACTCGTAGGGTGAGTCACGAGACTGGTCCTGAAAAGTTTTGGGAAGGTGTTGCTCACACTATCGGTGGCCGGGTCGAAGACAGGGTAGTTGGCGTTGTTATAGACGTCGAAGCGGGCAACGGAGCCGCCATACTTGGTCTCGCCGACGACCGCGGGGGTAAACCCACCCGCGCTCTTGGTAGGTGGGTTCGTAGACCTGCAGGAAGCCAGCGAGGTCAGTGATCTAGAGAGCGTTGAAGGGAGTTAGACACCTGGAATATTGCTTACGTCCCAGCGAACCTGGCAGGAGCTCCAGGTCAGAGAGACTTAGAGCCTGACAAAATCTTACTTGGCGAGGGAGAGGTCAAAGGTGAAGAAGCTATTGAGAGATGAGCTGTTGACTCCCTTCACGTATAATACTCATTAAATACGCACCTGTACTTCTGGGAGAGCAGGGTCTGGTTGACGCCAGAGGAGACACGGGTCCATTCGTAAAAAGTCTGGAACATATCAGCAAGGTCATGCTTGATGCTACCGCTGACGCCTTTGGACGTTTATTAGATGAAGCTTCGCCCAGGGGAGAAACCAAGTCTTACCGAACTAAGGCACAGAGAGCACGTCGCCAGCGCTTGAGCCAGTGAGAATCTTACCACTAAAGATGGGGAGTCTCGAGACGTTGAGGCTTGGGGGAATGTCAAAGGAGAACCTAAATCTCCTCGTTGGCCGTTCTCCTTCACCGCGTCCTCTGCAATCGTCACTCTCTAAATGAAGCATTCGGACAATGGATAAGAGGCACCTAATTTGCAGTCTTGGTCTGACCGGGCGCAACCTTGAACCCGCCCGAAGGCAAGCTCAAGAGGGTGCCAATCTTGAGAGGCTCAATCTCGACGAGATCCTTGATGCGAGGGACGTCCAGGATCTCCGCGTCGGCAGCCTCGGCGACCCAGTACGACTCGAAAATTGCCGGCGTCCTGCACCGTGAAGATGTACCCGAGCTCTGTCGTGACCCTATTAGTGATGTCGACCTGGTGGTACCGTGAGAAGTGGTGCATCTCGTGGAGAGCGGAGTTTGCCTCCCCGGACAGCTGCGAGGTCGCATTGAGGACGGAGACGGCGTCGATCAGGCCGCTAACGATCTTGAGGGGAGGATCCCAGAACCGAATGCCCTTGGTCGTGCCGTTGGACCAGGGGATAGCGCGGCCGGACGCAACGATGCAAGCGTGCAGGGCTTCTGCGAAGCCGGCGCCGTGCGTGGAGCGGCCTCCACGTGCCCCGATATAGAGCGCCACGATGCCGGCGACGTTTATTGGGAGAGCCGCTCTGGACGTCATATCGCAAACACGCTCGCTCTCGCGCGATGCCGTGGGAGCGTGATGACCATCACGTGCCGAAGGTTGGAACCACGACATGCCATGCACAGAGTATTAAAGAACCCTGCAATGTAGTCATGATTCAGTCACAGCAAATGCAAAAGGAATGGGAGAGCAAATGATTGCAAAAATATTATTCATGATTCGAAAATATGTAAAAAGAGCGAGGACATAGCGTGAGTCTAAATCTAGATGTTTTCCGTGGGCATTTGTTGCCGTCAAAGGTTGATCTTTCACCTCCGAACCTCCCGCCTCTCTATTTTCTCAACGAGAAAAGATAGAGATGAGTATATGCATTTTGTAAAAGAATGAAAAATAACATGCGAAGAGACGGAGGAAGAGGATCAAGCCCCCCTTTTTTTCCGTTCCCTGTTTCCCCCCCTTGGCTATGCGGGCGCGCGCGCGAGAGAGAGAGAAGGCAATTCGTAGGCCATGAACGAATCCTTTTGTTCAAACGCGATGATTTTGTGTGTGTATATATAAAGAAGTTATACATCATTATACAACCAAAAAAAGGCCCCATAAGTCGGAAGTGAACCGGACCCCTGACCCCCCAAGACCAAACGTGACAAGAGGCACGGCGCGGCGCGGCGCTGTTTGTGCGCGGCGTAAAGCGCGTCGCGGCCCCCGGGTATTTGTGTTGTTTTTTTTTGTTTCGCATCGCAGTAAAATTTGCAAAAGCTCTTTATGGCTTCGACACCTGCTCCTTTCTGAAGAACTTGAAGAACAGGATGGGGATCACCAGCTGGAATCCCAGGCAGATCCAGAACCAGTAACTTGAGACTCCGGGCATCAGGCCCTGGGAAAAGTCGGGGAAGGTCGTGTTGGGCGAGAGAGAGTTGGGACTCGTCGCACGCGCCAGCATCGTGAAGGCACTGCCCACAATTTGTGCGCCAACGAGAACGGCCAACACGTGCTGGCGTGTCAGCGTCGCGAGCAGCATCATACCCAGACCGACACCCTGGATGTTGTCCAAGAGGCCGAGCCAGAGCCAGAGGCAGCGAGACAGGATGGCCGAACCGACGGGGCCACCAGCCCAGGGGAGGTACATGCCCATGCTGCTGGTACCCCAAAGCATCTGCGCCCAACGTGGAGCGCACAGGCCGATGGCGAAGATCGGCAGAAGCCATGTGTGGCTCTCTGAGAAGAAGGAGAAGACGTAGAGGATGATGGACCAGAGGACGACGAAGAAGCCAAGGGCAAGGAGGACAACACCCCATCCAGGGATAAACTGCGAGGCGAAGAGGAAACCCCAGTTGCGGCCGTAAGGCGCCGACAGCCAGTAGTTCTGGATGATGATCATGACGAAGAAGACAGGGACGAGCTTGCGGCGAGCAAGGGAGATGTAGAAGCCGGGGATGTTGTCAGGCGCCTGGCGGTAGTAGTCAGGGAGACCGAAGAACAGGACGATACCAATGGTCCACAGTACAATGGCGACGGGAACGCAGACGACGATAGCTTTGGAGATGCTGGTACCGTCGAAGAAGGCCATTGGCGAAGTCTGTGGGGTATGGGTGAGAGATCCCCAGTACCAGAGCATCAAGGAGTAGACTTGGGCAACACCAGCGACAGCCAGCGCACGCGTAATCCATTGCTTGGTGGGAGCACCACCTTCGTCACCAAAGTTGAGCGCGAATGACAGGGCACCAGCGCTGGCGCCAGCAGCGTAAATGGCAGTGGCGGCATCTTGCATACCAGCGCTGGCTTGCCAAGGTGAAAGGTAAGGCGAAATGCCCAAGAGGGCGAACGCGAGGCCGAAGAAGAACCAGGGGAGCGAGAGGGCGTAAACCGACTTGGTGAAGCGAACCATGATCCACCACAAGAGTGAAGTTACCAGGTACGTCGCGGCGACAATATAGAGCTTCAGAGGCGTCTGGTTGGTATCGCCGGTGAGTAGGACAATTTGGTACGAGTTGATGGAGATGACTTGAGCGAATGCGAGGAAGAAGGCGTAGATGGGCCAGTCGCCAATGCGAATGGACAAAATCTTCTTGATACCTGTGGGCGCATTGTAGTTGTCGCCCAACAAAAATTCGTCGTCAACGGGGCTGTCATCGTAGCGAGATGCCCCAGTGAGTCCGCTTGGAGTGCGACTCCGGCCACGCTCATCGACGTCGAACTTGGCACCAAGACCCTTGCTGGAGCCGGGGCGGCTGCCAGGCGCAGGACTCCTTGACCTGCTGTGGTCTCTCCGGCCAAGCTTCGCGTCTCGGTATCTCGCGAACCACTTCTTCTCACTCTTCTTGAGGAAGTTTTCGATGCAAAGATCGTTGCCCGAGTTCTTGGCTGTGAGGTTGTTAAGCATCTGCTCGAATTCTTGGTAGAATTCTCCGTTCTTATCAGTGAAGCTTTGGTCCACGTTTTGCAGCTTGAGGTCGTGGCGGTCACCGACGACATCGGGCAGAGACAGTTGAGAGCTGTTGCGCTGCTGCTTGTAGAAACTCGGCTGGGGCAGGCCAAGAGCATCGCCGAAGCCCGGAGTTTGAGGAGAGGAGATGTCGTTCTGGGCGCGAATCGCGAAGCTATCTACGCTCACCATACTCTCGCGACCGCTGGCGAACATGCTGTCGCGAGGCGCAAGCATGCTATCACGGCCACCAATGGAGCTCGAGAAAGAGCTGCGACGGGAGGAGGAGATGGTTGACCACGGCATGTTGGGTGTCTGGAGATCGGGCGAGTTGATGCGGCCCGCGGGGCTAGCGATACGGCTTGGTGGCGGAAGAGGAGAAGGAGCTCTCGAGCCAGTTGGAGTAAGCTCAGCACCATACTCACTGACAGCAACGCTTGACCTCAAGGACGAGTCGGTAAGATTGCGAATGCCGCCCGCCTTCTTTTGCTTGGCAGCCTCCTTGTTGTGAATCTTGATAGAGTCGTTGTACAGCGTGTCGAGTTGCCTGATCCATTGCGCGACGGGGAAACGCTGCTTGGCGCTCCAGGCGCGCATGAGAGCTCGCTTTCTAGGCTTGCAAGCAAGAGCTGAAGCAATGGCCTGCTTGAATTGATGAAGCAAATGCTGGGGACTCATTGACTCGACGGTGAACCAGAAGCCGGGCATCTGGCCCAAACCACCGACACGGGCACCAACGCCCAAGGCACCCTTACGACCGAATTCAACGGCGACCAGACCGAAAGGCTCGTCACGAGAGGGGATAAGAGCGAATTCAGCACCGCTGAAAATGTAAGGAGGCAGCTGAGTGAACTCGGGCTTGCTAAAGACACGGCCCGGATACTTCTCCATGAGCTTGGCCAGCTTGAGGGCGGCGAACTTGCCGTACAAGTCGATAACCGGACCAATAGCGATAAGCTGGACAGAGGGGTACTTCTCGAGGATGCTAGGGAACAGATCGGCAATCAAGTCGACACCCTTTTGCAAACTCCATCTGCCGACGAAGACGAAGAGATCGGCGTTCGGGTTGACGTCGAGACCGGCCCACTCCTGGGCTTGTCTACGTAGAGTGGCACGGTTGGCTTCGAAAGTCTCGTCAATCTTGATTTCGTCCGTAGAGTTGGAGATGTCTTCCTCGGGGTTCCACTCTCCAGTGTCGGAAGGATCGGGGTTAGGCAGCTGGCCAATGTTCTTCAAACTCCAGAAAATGGGGTAACGGGCCAGAGAACGGTCACCGTACTTCTTGGACACACCGACGGCACCGAAACCGCGCTGGTGGATACGGAGGTAACTGGCAGCGGCATGCAACAGGTTGAAAGCGGAACCATACTGCACGTAGTCCTTGACGACCTTGGCCGGAAGGTTGAAGACGCTGTAAACTTCCTTTTGCTCTTCTTCGGTCCTCATGGGCCACATGCCCTGGAATTCGGCATTGTGCAGGGACAAGCAAACGGGGATAGTCTGCGGGAGAAGGTAGAGAGGAGCAGCGGCTCCGTGGTAATCGTTGATGTGGTAGATGTCGGCGTTGAAGCGCTTGATCGACTCGGCAATACAACTGTTCCAGGCACAGTACAGGATGGCACTCTCGAGGTCGTCCATGCGCGCGATGTAGGGGTCGGCCTTGGTTTGCTGGCGGAAGATGGGAGCATCGAGGATAACGTACGTAATGTTCTTGTAGACGTGGTAGTTGACCTTGACCTCGAAGGAGTCGCCCATAACTTCAACGAACATCGGTTCGGCTTCGTGGTCCATGGGGTAGTCGACGTCGCCAACGCAAGGCACGACCCAAATTAAATCCACGTGGGAGAGAGCTTGACTCATGAGCTTGGCCATGACACCAAGACCACCGATCTTGATGCTGATCTTCCAGTCGTCGATGTTGTACTCCATGGTGGCAATGAGGACCTTCCTTCGGGGGGCGCCACCGGTGGCTGCAACGGTAGCCGGCGTGACGGTAGGAGACGGAGGAATTTGGGACATCTCGAGACTTTTGCCTTTTTCGCCGAAGTTAATGTTGGACTCATTCCCGAGCTTGAGTGGTAACCAACCCTTCTTGGAGAATCCTGATTTGTTAATCTTGACTTGGTAGAAACCCTTCATATAGATCCAGCCAGCCAGTCCAGCGAGGATGATGGGCATGAGGCCGAGGAGGAAAAAGAAGACAATCTGAATCCACATGTTGCCCTGGGGAACGGCGACGTAGTTCCAGTTAGCGTCGTTGAGAACCAGCTTGTAGGAGAGAGCAGGCATCGGAGGCGGCGAGGTCAGGTTCACAACGTTATCAGACAAACTGCTAGGAGGCAGACGGTCAAGTACACCGTCGCCGTTGGGGTCGCCGTAAATGAAGGAAGCATCGGGTTGGTTGTCCGGGTTGATACCCCAAAGGTTGAGCTGGACCTGGGCGGGCCATTCGTACATGAAGTGAAGCTCCCACATGTTGTCGCCGACTTGGGTCATCAGGTTAGGCAGACCAGCATCGTAACCCCACTTGTTAAAGGGTCCATGGAGGAAGACGTGAGGGAATCGGCGGGCAAAGGGGATAATACCGTTGTCCGCGTGCTGGATGAAGGATGACGAACCGAGAGGCTTGCTGAAGTATTGAACCATCAGGTGTTCACCCTCCCACTTCTGGAGGGAGGTACCCTCCCAAGCC